GATATCAGCCCTTTGTCAGATGGGTAAACTGCAAAAATTTTTTCCCAATCTGTTGGTTGCCGATTCACTCTAATGATTGTTTCTTTTGCTGTGCAGAAGCTGTGGAGTTTGAATTATTCTTACTTTCTAAGATGTAACGCCAGGTGTAGAGAGCATGCCACAGTACCTCTCATTTACAGTAGTCATGATCTATACCCAGAAGCAAAGTAATGTCAAAATGCACTTTTTAGTAAAGTGCTTCTAAATTTTTCATATGCTTCATTTCAGTATGTTAAATAAACATTAATTTCATTTTGTGAATAGGAAGACCAGGCAAAAAGTTAACTCAAATCCTTGGTAAGCACAAGTTGGAGAATTGGGTGAGAAGCCAATCCACCTCAATACTTGCTCTATATGATGTGCTTCTCTCCAACTGGGCACTACACTGGAAAATTTGGAGTATATTAGCAGGCAATGGTTTGTATGTGTCAGTGGGAAATAAGTTCTAAGAGACAGACTGGGTGAAGATTATGATAATATGAGTTCCAATTTGCAACCCCGTATATAAACCTGGGATTCTAGGAAATAAAAGTCCTTTATGCAAGGGGAGCAGAACTATGATTCTCCAGAATCGCTCAGTGAAATTGGCTCTAAGAAAAAGCCCCTGAATTTCAGAACTGCCTGAAGTGCTATCTTTCACCCCCCTTTATCATTGTATTCAGAGTATGGCACCTCTGCGACTTTTCTTTCCATATCCTTTGAGCTTCTAGAGAGCAAAACTTGTTGCTTCCTGGGCTTGAGGATGTGGGCATAGCTGGGTTGTCCTGCACTGCCTGAGGAGCTGCAAGAGACAAGGAACATCATGAACAGTGGTATCCCTCTTTGTTCCACTTTGTTCTTACAGCTTTGCCTATGTATGACGCTACAGAGGAGGAAATACATACCTAGAGGACAACCCTAATCTAGTTATTAACATAGCTGAGTGAGTTTGCCACTAATGGAGCACATTTCAAGCCAGAGATTTCTAGGTATGAATTACAGGGAGGATTTACTTTCATATTTCAGGATCAGTATTTTTACAAGCATTTTAGATAAAAACATAGACAGAAAGCTTGTCAAGGCCATGCATGTTAACACACTCAGGAAACAATCATTGTGTGAGATAAAATAAGATACAATTTGTTTTGAAAAGATTCAAACCCTAGGATAAAATTTAATAGGAGCTGGTCTTAATTAACATTAATTAATTTTTTAAAATATATGTTTATCTTTTTATTTATTTATCTAATAGATATGATAGTAAGCACTAGGATTATTTTTTAAATAATCCTTTGTCCTGTCCTTCAACATCTCCTCCTACTATATATACACTGGAGAACAAGAATATTAAATATTCTTGAATGTTTAAATATAAACTAGAATGAATATAAAACAGAATGATTAATGCTAAAATCAAGGTGTGCTCTAGATGGATTCATAGCACTAAACATTGTTTGCACAAACCTGTGAGGCAATGTTTTCAGAGTTTCTGTGAGAAAAGCCTTGAGGCTTTTATTTCATCACAGGTTCAACACAATTGACAATGTGATGTACTTATTAAATAAATTAATGTAATCTTTGTTTCAAGATAGAAATATGTTTTCTTGATATGCAGAGAATCTTTTAGAAACCACTAAGCCAAATAGTAATATTTAATTTTGCAAACAAATGTCAAAAACTGTTATACAATCGGTTAGATAAACAAAGACAGCATGAAGTGTGTTGACATGGAGAAGAACCAGTTAGAATGAATATATTGAAGAAAACTATAAAATAACAATTTGGTAGAAGAAATGTTTGGTTTCTTTGTAAAGATTTGTAAAAGCAATGAAAAAAAAAAAACTAAAGAAAAGTATTTGGGCTATCTTTGAGAATACAGTATTTTGGTTATATAATGAGCATCCCATGTTGTGAGACATTTAAGAAAACATTCATGAGGTAATCAGCCTTAATACATTCAGTAGATTAATATCTGAACTTTATAAAAAATTGCATTTCTAGTCCCTAAATTGCTTTTAATTGTAAGTTTCTTATTTTAAGGGGGCACTTAAGGAATAAGTTTTCTTAAATAAAATAATAGAAGTAAGAATGGAAAGCCATTTCCAAATTTGAGATGAGAATGCACAAAATTTGGCCATGGCTTGAGTATTGGAGGTGTGTGAGAGGAAAGAAGCCAAGATGAGTTTCAAGTTTCCTGGTGGAACAACTGGTGATGATGGCACCAAAATCAAGTTACACAAAACTGGAAGAGAAGCAGTGTGGGGAAGAATGGCATGTTCAGCTCTGAAATTATTCAGATAAGGGTGCCTCCGGGAGGTGTGAGTGAATATTTCAATAGGCTTAAATAATGTAGTTTTGTAATTATTTGTGTAATCAGAATTTGGGACACAAATTCAGAATATGTTAGTATAAATATGAGTAGTCAAGCTGTGGGAACATGCTCTTGAAAAACAGAATAGATTAGAAAATTATACAATCCATCTATGGGAATTCCCATTAGCCCCTTTAAGTACAGTTCATCCTACTAAATTAATGTCAAGGAAGATGGGGTTCAAAGTATGCTCTTTTTTTAAAAAAAAAAAACAGCATTACCTGGGAAGGAAGAAAATAGTCATTGGGAGTCTTGTGTACTCAGCTAATTTCCATGTGTTTGGACCTAGAAAAAACATGAAGGACATTGAAATAGCTACTTATCTATCCGGAAAACTTTACTATAATGCATAAGACATTCCCACTATGAATTGCTCCCACAACCCTTTCTGAATGACAGTAAAGAATGTTCGGGTCCACCAAAGCTCCCATCCTCACCGTGTTATAGGTCTAAAGGATCATAAGAATGGGCAAACTCAGTTCCTGAGTGCTGTGTCAGGTCTAGGAGGATTGCAGGTATGATCTGCATAGCCTCACAGTATGATCTGCAGCTCAGTAACAGGCAAGTGGGTGATCTTACTCAAAAGAAAATCCAAAGAGGCAACTGGAGGAAAGAGCTCACTGAAATGTTTACTTTTCTATAATCATTGGATGTATTCTCTGAGTGTATCAGCATCAGTTAAATATATTTTATTCTTCTTGGAGGGCAAAATTTTTAAGAGAAGTTATAAAAAGTATTTGATTATAGACCCTAAAGCTCATGTCAGACAACTACGTAAATGCCTAGGGACATCCTGGACTCAAAAATGATAAATCAATCAATAAATATTGTGCCTTGCCAGGATCACTGGAACATAGAATGTGAAGCTTTTTAGATGGTTTTAAAGAGCTTCAGCAAATGAGCTACCACATACTCAGAACAGGAAATGAGCTTTAGTCAGAAGACAGCCGCTGAGGCTGAAGGAACAGAAACAAAAGAGAGTCAAGAGACATGCAGTAGGGCCCCTGCTACAGAAATATGGCCCTGACACCAGAGATAAGAAGGTATCCTGCAGACGTATTTGATTTCTTAACTCTTAACTCACATGTTGAGCTTAATTAAGATTGCAAAGTGACAGTCCCAAAGACAGGGCCTGAGTGATCTTGAGTGTGAGTCACTGATCCTTACCTCTGAGAGTCCCAGCGTTCCTGCCAGGTGACTGTCTTCTTCACAAATACATGTGATGAAAATTTGGCATGCCAGAGCCCCTTTCCGAATAACAGAGTCGACCAAAGCTCGGGCCTTATCCATGACTGTGGCATTTTCACGTTTTACTTTCTCCATCTCTTCCTGGTTCAGCGCCATTTTCTCTAATAATTCATCCAGTAAGCCATTTATTGTACCTTCACCCACTGAATGGATAAACAGCTTTCTCTTCTCCTTCAGGATCTTGTCTGTTCAGGGCACAAAGATTACTCACATCATAAAAACAGCCTCATGTTCCTCTCATGTCATCAACAGAAAGTGACCTCATTTATATTTTATCAGAAAAATATCCCCCTCCTCACAGTTGGATAATCCCTCTTCTTACTGTACAGCTGTCCTACTTGTTTCCCTCAATAGCCTCTGTACATGCGCATGGAGTGGCCTGAAGACTGAGTTTACCATTTCCAGGTTAGTCCCTGGAAAGCAGAGACCATCCTTTCGTGTCCCATGTTTATTTAACTCTAAATAATAAAGTAATGAAACAGAAATAGCCCATTTGCTTTAGGAACAACAGCTGCTAGTACTCTTCCTGTGCCAATTCTGTACCCTCTGTTAGACTTACAACATGTAAGAGTTTAATTAAGATTGCAAAACGACAGTGGGCAACCCCTGAAACCTCAGTTCCTTTCTGGGCTTGTTTTTCCTTTCTAAAGACTGCAAGAGTCTTCTAGTTCCTTCTTTCCTCCCTGTCCTCTGTCTCCCTCACTTTGGCTCACCTAAATTTCCACAGATACTAATTATGGCTTCCAGAAGAGTCAACCCCTTCCAAAACTCTTTCTTCCCAGGGATATGTCCTTGGAACAGTGAAAGACTCACCAGCCATGGTTTTTCTCTTCTATCCTCCTTGTGTGAGCTGAAACAAAATATGCATCACCTTCCCTTTTTGGCAGGGGTGTGTACACATATTGGGAAACAACCACAGCACATACATATGCATGTGATTTTTTTTCCCCCTAGAGAAAGTATCAGAACTGTAGCCTGCACAGGGAGTGTATCCATGAGAATGTTTTTACACCAGCCCTTGGAATAGATCAGGGTAGGAGGAGAATGGGGCCTAGAGGATAAGACAGGATTGAGAAAGTGTGTGTGTGATTAAACTCACACAGTGAAGAGTTTCCCATTCATTCTAAAACTTGACTGAAAAAATGAATACAACCTTTGGAGAATTTGAAACACTGTTCCCTGACCCGACCTCACAGCTTTGGGGAAGGTTGTGGGAGATGTATGTCCTGGTGAAGCACTTTTACTTTAAGAAATGGAAACATTTTTCACCAAAATTAAAACTTTTCTTATTTAACATTCTTCCTTTCAAGATGGATTTTTTTTGTTGTTTTGTTTTCCAATACAGGATGTCACTCTTTACCCAGGCTGGAGCACCGTGGCATGACCATGGCTCACTGTAGCCTCCACCTCCCCAAGCTGAGACGATTCTCCCACCTCAGTTTCCTGAGTAGCTAAAACTACAGGCAAGCGCCATCACTGCTGGTTAATTTTTGTATTTTTTGTTAAGATGGGCTCTCCCTATGTTTCCTAGGCTGATTTACAATTCTGCTTAAGTGATCCACCCAGCTTGGTCTCACAAAGTGCTGGGATTATAGGAATGAACTGTCCACTCATCTTAGATGGCTTTCTTTTTAGAAACATTGCATCATAGACAGCATAGTCCCTGAACTCAAAATGTTGAACCTACATGTTAAACATCCCTTTCTAGGCAAAATATTGAACTTCTTTATGCATCGATTCCTCTGTCTGTAAAATAATGCTATCAGTAGTACGTGCATATCTACACAGTTTTGAGCAGTATTGAGTTAAATGTGAAAATGCATGAAACATTACCTGGCAAATGATAAGCTCATAATGAGGGATATTACTATAATTAATACAAATACTACATTTAAGAAAAATAATCAAAGATGATTATTTGCAGATTATCCAGCTAAGTTTATTTTTTGTTAGAATCCTCAAGCAGTGCATTTAGTCATTCATTTAGCAAATATATATGGAGAACATGGTTCCAGGTATCAGTGGTTCAGTCAAAACACATCATGATTCTTTCCCCTTTGCTCTCACATTCAAGAAAGGAAGACATAAATGAAGACTGATATGTAATATGTAACTGGAATATTTAGAATGTTAAAATACGCCAACTGATTAGAAGAATAAGAAATGAACTGGGGAAATGGGAGGCAAAATATTACAGGACTCATGAACACTGTGCACAGAGGAACCAGGGAAGGCAAGAAGAGGTCTCTGGCTTTGTAAGTACATGCTCAATTGATCATTCCAGAAATAAACTCAATGTGGCTAATTTATTTTATGAATAAATTTGATGGAAGATGGACCAATAGCAAAATGCACATAGTACATTGTGTTTATCAATTTTTTTTTTTTACCAAAAATTTTCTTGGGATGTTACTTTATTATCTTTGCAGGATAACAGCCAGATTTATGCAAATATTCACCTTTTGACATGTGGGCTACCAGTTTTACTTCCTGTGCACTAGGCTAAGAGTTAAATGTGTTTGGCTAAAGTAGAACTGACTGTGTAGGAGGACAATGATGTGGCTTTTAATCTAAGGGTTTTTTCATGGTGTTTTTATCTTTCCTTTGCCAATGACCTAATCCAATTGCGGCGAAATCTTGTGCTCCTTGCTACTGGAAGAATTAGGAGCATGTAACAAAGCAGAAATTGCCTTTGCATCACGTCTCTTCAGTTTATTTACTTTTCAATTTATGTACTGACTCATTTATTTTCTCTGTTACTTAAGGATTTCATACAAGGGTTTTCCCCATGGCCAGAGTCATGAACCACTGATTTGAAGCATGTCAGAGTGGCAAGGACAGAAACCATGATTAGACCATGTATCTGGGAATGGAGAACCATAAGACTTGAGTCTCATGTCCTAGAAATCTAAACACTGAGCCAGTATATTGCAAGGGGCCACTCTATCCTCAAAAAGGAAGATGTCAAAAACTGGAAACAAATCAATATCCAATTCAGGAGCATAAATTAACAATTTGTACTACAGGAGTACACTGAAATGCTCTTCGGTCTTAAAAGGTAAAAATTACTAATACATGCAATAACATGGATGAAAAAATTATGCTTTTATAATGACTGAAAGGAGCCACATAGGAGGGAACACATGCCCTATGATTCCAATTATATTTAGTCCTAGATTTTAAAAAACTAACATATAGTGATAGAAATTCAATCACTAATTATCTGAGGAGAAAGTGGAAAGAGATTGAGAACAAAGGGCATGATGAAACTTTCTGGGGTGAAAAAATTGGTTTGCTTGTTCATTGGGATGCTACTATAGATAATATCCTTGTATCATTAATAAATAATTTGTCTTCTTAAAAGGGGTACTTTTTTCTATGTAAATTATACTAAAATAACATTAAAATTTTGAAATGATAAAGGCCAGTGGTAGTAATAATAGGCTGATTTGGAAAAGATATTTTTTTCTTGATTTCAGGACACACTCAAGCCTCCACAAATTTGTTGTAATTCTGATAAGAGAAAGTTCTTATAGTGACTGAAATGTAATTACCTGCCTCTCAAGTTGGATGAAGTTATGTGGACAGAGTGGAGACAATTTATAGGAACAAATTTATTGACAGAAATATGTGCCTGGAAAATAGCATTACATAAGTAATAGTATCTTAAGATAAATGAATGTAGAAATTCTACTATAAGCAATATTTAAAATGTGCATAATGATTTAAAACAACTATCAGTGTGAAATCTGGGACACAATAATACTTTTTATTTATTTATTTGTTTATTTAATCTTTCATTTTTTTTTAAATTGTACTCTACATTCTGGGGTACATGTGCAGATCATGCAGGGTTGTTGCACAGTTACTTACATGGCAAGTTGTTTTGCTGCCTCCATCCCCCTGTCACATATATCTGGCATTTCTCCTCATGTTATCCCTCTCCAACCTCCCCACTTCCTGCTGTCCCTCCCCTTGCCCCCGCTACAGCATACCCCAGTGTGTGACGCTCCCCTCCCTGTGTCCATGTGTTCTCTTTGTTCAGCACCCCCCTATAAGTAAGAACATGCTGTGTTTGATTTTCTGTTCTTGTGTCAGTTTGCTGAGAATGATGGTTTCCAGATTCATCCATGTCCCTACAAAGGACGCAAACTCATCGTTTTTTATGGCTGCATAGTATTCTGCAGTGTATATGTGCCACGTTTTCCATGTCCAGTCTATCATTAATGGGCATTTGGGTTGGTTCCTGGTCTTTGCTATTGTAAACAGTGCCACAATGAACATAACGTGTGCATATGCCTTTATAATAGAATGATTTATAATCCTTTGGATACATACCCAGTAATGGGATTGTTGGGTCAAATGATATTTCTATTTCTAGGTCCTTGAGGAATCACCACAGTGTCTTCCACAATCGTTGAACTAATTTATACTCCTGCCAACAGTGCAAAAGTGTTCCTATTTCTCCACATCCTCTCCAGCATCTGTCTCCAAATTTTTGATGATTGCCATTCTAACCGGTGTGAAATGGTATCTAAATGTGGTTTTGATTTGCATATCTCTAATGACCAGTGATGATGAGCATTTTTTCATATGTTTGTTGGCCTCATATATGTCTCCTTTTGAAAAGTGACTGTTCATGTTCTTTCCTGCCATTTTGAATGAGATTGTTTGTTTTTTTCTTGTAAATCTGTTTTAATTCTTTCTAGATTTGGGATATTAGCCCTTTGACAGATGGGTAGATTGCAAAATTTTTTTCCCATTCTGTTGGTTACTGGTTCACTCTAATGATTGTTTATTTTGCTGTGCAGAAGCTCTGGAGTTTAATCAGATCCCATTTGTCTATTATGGCTTTTGTTGCCAATGCTTTTGGTGTTTCAGTTATGAAGTCCTTGCCTATGCCTATGTCCTGAATGGTTTTGCCTATGTTTTTGTCTAGGATTTTTATGGTGTTAGGTCTTATATTTAAACCATTAACCCATCTTGAGTTAATTTTAGTGTAAGGTGTCAGAAATGGGTCCAGTTTCTGCTTTCTGCACACTGCTAGCCAGTTTTCCCAACACCATTTGTTAAACAGGGAATCCTTTCCCCATTGCTTGTTTTTATCGGGTTTGTCAAAGATCAGATGGTTGTAGATGTGTGGCATTGCCTCCGAGGCCTCTGTTCTGTTCCATTGGTCTATATCTCTGTTTTGGCACCAGTACCATGCTGTTTTGATTACTGTGGCCTTGTAGCATAGTTTGAAGTCAGGTAGTGTGATGCCTCCAGCTTCATTCTTTTTGCTTAGGATTGTCTTGGCTATGTGGGCTCTCTTCTGGTTCCATATGAAGATTAAGATGGTTTTTCCCAGCTCTGTGAAGAATGTCATTGGTAACTTGATGGGGATAGCATTAAATCTATAAATTACTTTGGGCAGTATGGCCATTTTCCTGATATTGATTCTTCCTAACCATGAGCATGGATTGTTTTTCTATCTATTTGTGTCCTCTCTTATTTCCTTGAGCAGTGGTTTGTAGTTCTCCTTTAGGAGGTCCTTTACATCCTTTGTTAGTTGTATTCCTAGGTATTTTATTCTCTTTGTAGCAATTGTGAATGGGAGTTCGCTCTTGATCTGGCTCTCTGTTAGTCTGTTATTGGTGTATAGAAATGCTTGTGATTCCTGTGCATTGATTTTGTATCCTGAGACTTTGCTGCAGTTGCTTATCAGTTTCAGGAGATTTTGGGCTGAGAGGATGGGATCTTCTAAATATACAATCGTGTCATCTGCAAATAGAGACAATTTGACTTCCTCCTTTCCTAATTGAATACCTTTCTTTTTTTTTTTTTCCTTGATTGCTCTGGCTAGAACTTCCAATAGTATTTTGAATAGGAGTGGTGAGAGACGGCACCCTTGCCTAATGCCGGATTTCAAAGGGAATGCTTCCAGTTTTTGCTCATTCAGTTTGACATTGGCTGTGGGTTTGTCATAATATTTTTAATAACAAAGTAGGTACTGTAAGAATCTCTGACATAGAAGATAGAAAATTCCTGTGCTTGGGTTTTGGCTGTCCCATTTCCAAGCCTTAGAACATCATATACGCTTACAGTTTTTCCTACTCATCTTCCTATTTATATTTTTGGATTATCAACACATTTTGAGTAATACAACTTAGCTACCAAAGTCCACACTGATAGTACCAAGATCAACTTCTGTTCACGAGCTGTAGATTCTGGATAAGTTATTTAACGTCTCTGAGCCTCTGTGTTCTCATGTATGGGAGAGGCATCATAATCATTCTTACCTTCTAGGATGTGATGCCAGGTGTAGAGGGCATGCCACAGTATCTCTCATTTATGTTAGTCATGATCTATAGCCCAGAAGCATGGTCATGTTAAAATGTACTGTTTCATTAGGTACTTCTAGATTTTTCCTATGCTTCATTTCAGTATGTTAAGTAAGAATAAATTTTATTTTATGAATAGGAAGACCAGGTAAGAAGTTGTCTCAAAGCCTTGGTAAGCACATGTTGGAGAATTGGGTGAGAAGCCAGCCCACCTCCTCACTCATTATTGCTCTGTGTGATGTGCTTCTTTCCAACTGAGCACTACGCTGGGAAATCTGAAATAGATAAGCAGACAAAAAGTGCTTGTTTGTGTCAGTGGGAAATAAATTCTGAGTTAAAAGCATCTAGACTATGATAATTTATAAAAATCAGCCTCAGAAAGGTATTTAAACTGATCAGATGGACAACAGGAAACCATTGCAGCTGTCTAGGTAGGAGAGTCATGTTAACATGCTTCTAAAGTAACTATTTCACATTGAGTGTTTAACAAGGCCCAGGCCCTGCAATAGATACTTCAACTGTATTGGTTCCACTAGTTCAACCATTTAAAAATATTGGCACTTGGACTAACCCCAGATTATAAAATCAAAATCTCATCCTGAGCCTCACCCTTGAGACTCCATGCTCCACAACATCCAGAATTTAACAGGACATGTTCTTTGAGACATTGCTGGTTCCATATGAATCAGGAGCTGGGCCCTGAGTGGCCTGTGTGTTGGTGAAAGGAGAAGGGGTAAGAATGTCTGGGAGTTGGTGCTGACTACAGAAAGAAGCTGCAGAAGAGTAGGAAACAGCTAGGATGAAGCAGTAAAGAGCTTGCCTGGACAGACAGGAAGCCAGGAGGTGTGTGGTCCCTTTTGTCAGATTTCTATACCAACTGATGCATAAAACCTCTACAAGTTATAAAGTCTCATCTTGGAACCAGATAGAGCCAAATGCCTGTGGACGGATAGACGTGGTCTAGGATGTGGTGTGTTGCCTAGCAGCAGAAGCAGAAGCTATTCTTCTCTTTCAGCCCACTGAAAATATAAACTACACTGACAGATGAAGTATATAAGTACATTGGAAAGCAAACCACTATGTGGATATATCAGCAGAAACAAGAGACTATAAATTTAGATCTTGAAGGGCATTCAGATGCTGGACCAATCAAATATAGAATATAGAATGAAAGTGTATGAAGGATTTAAATAAAGGGAACAAAAAATAACAGTTCTATAAAAAGAAATAATTAGAGAAACATTAAAGTAGAGCATGTATAAATATAAAAATTAGTTATATTTAATAATGGACAGATTAAAAGGCAGACACACACAGTCTGTGAAAATGTAAAGGATCTGGAAAATAGAAGTACACTTGACCTTTGAACAACGCAATATTTAGAGGTGCTGACCCTCACACACCGTCAAAAATCTGCATATAACTTTTGACTCTCCCCAAACTTTACTACTAATGGCCTGCTATTGAAGGGAAGCCTTACCAGTAACAAAAACCACTGATCAACAAATATTTTGTATATGTACTATAAATTGTAATATAAAGTAAGTTAAAGAATATATTATTAAGAATATCATAGGAAGAGAAAATATATCTACTATTGATTACGTGCAAGTGGATTATCATAATGTCTTCATCTTCATTGTCCTCACATTGAGTAAGTAGGGTGAAGAGACGGAGAAAGGGAATGGCTTAGTCTTGCAGTCTCGTGGGTTGCAGAGGTGGAAGAAGAAGAAACAGCAGTGGAATGGAAGGCAGGAAAAACAGGCATACTGTGTGTATCTTTGTGGAAATACATAGATATTTCTATCTTTCTTTTTGCTTTTTCTTTTTCCTAAAATTTTTCCGAGGCAGTAACAATCTTATTTTCACCACTTCCTTTAGTTTCAGTGCTCATATCATAGAACGGTCTTTGTTGTAAAACAGGTCATAGGCTGCCTTGAATAATCAGAATCTTTCTGCCAAATTATAATGCCAATTTATGCTCTGACACTGCTTTTTCTACATGTTCTTCTTCATCATTTGGAGCTGGTTCAGAAGCACTCATCTCTGTCAAGTCGTCTTCAGTTAATTTCTCTGATGTGCAATTAGCTCTTGAATTTTTATAACGTCCATGTGGTAAAACTCTTCACATTTTTTTTTTTTTTGCCATATCCACAATCTCTTTCAGCATTTTCTTGATTTACTTTTTCAAAAATTATACTGCGGTCATGAAAAACTTCTGGTCAGTTTTCTCTAGTAGAAATTTATTGGGCTTTTGCTCTTGTCTAGGTTGGCCTTAAACTCCTGGGCTCCCAAAATCCTCCCACCTTAGCCTCTTTAGTATCTGGGATCATATGCCCACACTACTGCACCCATAATCATGGCTTTTCCTATTTTAATGCCAATGGTGTCATCTTCAGTGGTGTAACCCTTCCAGACTTTCATGATGTCGTCTTTACCAATGGTCTCTTGGCATTCGCAAATATTTCCATAGAGTAATGTGTGTAATGAGCATTAAAATTCCTTCTGACCTCCTGACTCAGAGGCTGAATTAGAGATATTGCAGTTGGGGACAAGTAGACCACTTTGACCTTTTTTGTGTCGAACTCATGAGGTTTTGGGTAGCCAGGGGCATTGTCCAACATCGACAGAATCATAAAAGGCAGTCCCTTATTGGCAAAATATTTCCTGACTTCAGGGACAAAGCATCAATGAAATCAATAGACAAAAAATATTCCTGTTGCCCGGGCATTCTTGTTGTACAACTAAAACACTGGCAGCTGGTGTTTACCCTTTCTGTTCAAGGCTCAGGGGTTAGTCGCTTTATATATAAGAGCAGTCCTGATGATAAATCCGACTGCATTCTCTCTAAGCTCGGGGGTTACTCGCTTTATATATAAGAACAGTCCTGATGATAAACCCTACTGCATTCTCTCAAAACAGTAGAATTAGCTTATCCTTTCCTGATTTAAATCCTGGTGCTTGCTTCTGTATCTTACTAATAAATGGCATTTTTGGCATCTTTTTTCTAGAATAGGACACTGTCATCTGTATTGAAAACCTGTTCAGGTAGTGTAGTTTCTCTTCAATGATTTTTTAATAGTTTCTGAAAACTAATCTGCTGCCTCTTGTTAACCAAAAGCTGCATATCCTGATATCTAGACATTTTTTAAACGAAAGCACTCCAAAACTATCAAACTATCTTTTGCCGTCATTAAAGTATCCAACCTTAGATCGTCCCCTTTTCTTTTGCTTTAAGTTGTATACAATGACTTAACATTTTCTGGAATCATATTAGGGTCTATAAATACACCTTCTGTATAAAAATCCTGCAACCACATACAAGCTTCAGTTTCAATACAAGATTAAAAATTGAGCTCAGTGATATAGCAACAGGAATGGCTGTGAAAATACAGGAGTACATTATGCATGATTAATTTTATGCAGTTAGGATTCAACACTGCATCTGTACATCTGTTTATTTGTTTACATTTCTCTCAATTGCAAACGGTATTATATATTACCTAGGTGTGCATAAACTTTAACAAACTTTAGCTTTCTATAATAGATTTGTATATATTTTATAATATGATAGTAAGTGATAAAATAGACTAACTTTTTAAATTTTTTGCATATTTTACATATCTAACTTAATTTTCCATATTTCTAGTGTAGATGGTTTGCGATTTTGTTCACATTATAGCAAATCTCCAAAAATTTTCCCAATATGTTTGTTTGTTTTAAATACACATATAAGCCGACCAAGACATTTCAGATTCCTGCTGTTCATAGCTTGGCACTAATTTATCTAGATTGCAAAAACTGAAATGAGAAGCTGAAACATTTGAGAGGGCTTCAGAGGTATGAAGGATGGAATGAGAAACTCTAAGATATATCAGATCAAATTACCAGAAAGATAGAAGAGAGAGAATACAAAAGAAAAAATATAAAGCAAATTTTTCAGAACTGGGGAAAAATATGTGTCCACTGATTGAAGAAGCACAATGTATGCTTAATAGGATAAGTTTCAAAAATAATTGCTTTCTAACAGCCCTGTGAGTTGGGCGTTGTTATGAGTTGAATTGTGTCCCATAAAAACATATTGAAGTCCTACCCCCACTGAGAAAAATCATTGTTATTACATGACACACCACTTCAGCCCGCCTGACTTTAGCGCTGCTCTGGTGGGGACCTCCCCTCATGTGGCTGTTGTCAGTCACACATCAAGCCACTATCCCTCAGGTTCTTTCTGCTTTGAAAATTGGAGATGTTCACCAAAGGATTGGGGCTGCTTACCTGTGCATATGTGGGTCCAGAATTGTGGCAGTGGGAGAACCTGCTCCTAGGGGCTAATTTCAGCCAATGAATGGCATTAGTCAGTTGATGAATGTCTCTAACTCCCCATCTTCTAATAAGGTAGAATCTTCATAATTGCAGAGGATCCCTAAGAAAGATTGAACCCCAGTCTTTCAGAGCAGTAATAAATTTATTAATGCAACTTTTTGGGAGATTGTCTTCCCTTCATCTCCTTCCCCACTCCCTCACTTCTGCTTCTTGGAAATACTTTCCAAATAATACCTACACTCAAGTTCCTGACTCCTCTTATTTCATAATCAACCAAACTATGTTATTATCATCATCATCATCACCACCATCATTGTTGCCATCATTATCTTTATCGAGCACTTTAAGTATGAACAGAGCTATGGCTAGTTTTCAACATTTATCATGTCATGTAATTCTTACTACATTACAAAATTGATAGGATTAACTCTCCTCATGGATAAAACTCCGTAGCTATGTTAATTACACATATAATCACACATCTAATAACAAGTTTTAGGCAGAGGTGAATTTAGATAGATTTGCATGCAAATCCAGATTAGTTATACTTCCTCCATTTTCTTTAAGCAGAGTGCTAGAATCATTTATTTTTAATAGCCTCTGCTTCTTAGTACAACCTTCCTATCTTAGGTTTTCTAGCCTTAATACTATGATCCTGAGATGACTTAAAAGTCTTATGTCTTAGCTTTTTCCACAGTGTCTATTCACTAGCTGAGGCCAAGCAAGCTAGTGAATAATGTCCATTTATATGTGTCTTGTCTGCCTAGTCACAGTGCGTACCTTTAGATTTGGGGGTTTTGTTTTGTTTTTGTCTTACAGCACTGTACATATTCCTCTGTGATTCTTATACTACTCTTTGAAGAGAATATTAAATGACAGGTAAACTGCAAATGGTAGGGATAATATATTTAGAATTATCTTCTGTAAGTGGAATGTGAGATACCATAGAGAGGAATGCATAAAATCATATGGAAATTATTGTAAATACTAAGATCCTCATTTGAGCTGCTTAAACATCTTTGCTTAGGTTCGCATATCGCATAGCTTCCTGTAGGTTTTATTCAAGTCTGTGTACTAACAAATCACAAAAACTGTCTAGGAAATTGCTTCCTTGGGATGGCAGTATTAAAAAAAATCCTTTCTCATACAGGCTTTATTAATGATTTCATCTGGGGCCAGCAAAGAAGTGTTTGCAGTCATTTTAGTGAGTTCTTCACACATGCATTTTCTTCTTTCACAGAATGGATTCTTTATATTGCTACTAGTCATGAAAAAGAAGCAAATGTTGGTGTAATCATCCTCATATTTTCTGTTTTCTCTCAGTCTCCTTTCTTACCCACCCTAAACCCTACTGTTCCTCTTTCTCTGGCAAAATATGATTAGTAACATAACAGAAATTTTTTCATAAGAAAAAACAACAGCATATATCCATGATGATTTCAAAAAAGTGGGTAAATGTATCTATTTTAAGCAAGAGGGGAAGATAAAATGATGTAACACTATATTGATTAACGAAAGGAAATTTAATAGCATTTGTTTCTCTCTCTCTCTCTCTCTCTCTCTCACACACACACACACACACACACACACACACATAAACACACACTACTTCACTGTTATGCCTTCTCACAAATAGCCAAGGATAATTTCTTTTTCCTAAGAAGAATGCTAATTGAGCTCAACAAATCTTGAAAAGTAATAAACTGAAGTCGTTATCTAGCAGTAACCACTGGATTCAGTGAACAAGACTGAATGACAACAAGAAACTTGCAAATTCCTTATGTTTCCTGCACCAAAGAAACATAACAGTCACCTAATAGTAGTTTTGGATGATGATGACCTTTAACTTGTCCATAAAATCAGAAACAGTCCCAGGTTTCTTGTGTTGGAAATATGGTATTGCAGCAAACTTGGAGTATCTACTAGATCTCTGACAGTCAAAGTTAGTCTTTACCCTGGCAGCATTAAAATTACATGTTACTCACTAGAAATACAAAATCTCAGGCTCCACCCAGACCTGCTAAATCTGAGTTGGCAGTTTAACAAGATCACCAGGTTTTTTTTTTTTTTTTTAATATTAAGTTTCAGAACACTGCTTTGAATGCCTCAGCCAACTAATACCCTCTAAAATATCACAAGATACAAAAACAAAAATAGTTACCAAAAGCATTCCAAGGTTCTCGGCAGGTACCAAATGGTTTATCATGGAAGTTATGTCTTCAAAGGTTCCAGAGTCACTGAATTTTGATTCAGCTGAAGTAGTTTACTCAGTAAAGCCCAATTGAACAAACGGTAAAATAGTGTTAAATTAGTGAATTCTTTCTTTTAATCTCAAGATTCCACTTACGCACTCTTCATGGACAATTTTATTTACCATTAAGATAGAGTATCAATTTGTTTTACATTTTCTTGGATTACAGCAAGAAATAGCAAAAATTGAACAGGATGGTAAATTTGACTGTAGTCCAGAAAGGCTGGATTGTTATTTCCTGCAGAAATGATAAAGAATAGATGGGTAAGGAATTGCAAGGAAACGTCATAGTGGTGTGTGGCAACATCCCCAGATGATGAGAAATGGTCAAAAAGTTTTGGCATAGATGGTGGTGGGTATTGTGCTTGAATCTCTGTGACTGGGTGATTGATGACAGATTTTAGATATTAACAAAAGATCACTTAGTAATTGCCACTCTTAGTTGATTTTAGAACATACTTGTTAAGTGCCCTAGTAATTAAAAGTCTACTACAATATATGTATTATAATCATTAACTGTTGATGTCTGTAAATGAATTGTTGATTGACACCAGTGTATACATTTGAAAGGTTTTGACCACAGTGAGTTTTGATTGTTAGCTTACGAAATTGAAGCTGTGTCTGAACCTTAACTTAGTCCTTGAAGTAAGATTTTGAGTGTCTGGGTTCTGCATCCAGGAAAGATATTTTTATAGCACAACAATAAAACCAGTGAACATTAGATATACAAAAGGATACCTCATAATAATTTCAGATTGGATTCACTAAATATAATTGTGTACTCTGATGATCAAAGACCTGACTTTTCTGTAGTTGACCATTCCGCTGAATTAAAGTCCAGTTATTACTACTGGTAGATAATAATGTGTGTGGACTTGTTACCTCAGTAGGGATAAACCAATTACTATTTAAAAGTAATTCTCATTTTATTCCAGAAAATATCCTTGCTGCTTTTTTTTTCCTTTTCTTTTTTTTTTTTTTTTTTTTTTTTTTTGCCATATCCACAATCTCTTTCAGCATTTTCTTGATTTACTTTTTCAAAAATTATACTGCGGTCATGAAAAACTTCTGGTCAGTTTTCTCTAGTAGAAATTTATTGGGCTTTTGCTCTTGTCTAGGTTGGCCTTAAACTCCTGGGCTCCCAAAATCCTCCCACCTTAGCCTCTTTAGTATCTGGGATCATATGCCCACACTACTGCACCCATAATCATGGCTTTTCCTATTTTAATGCCAATGGTGTCATCTTCAGTGGTGTAACCCTTCCAGACTTTCATGATGTCGTCTTTACCAATGGTCTCTTGGCATTCGCAAATATTTCCATAGAGTAATGTGTGTAATGAGCATTAAAATTCCTTCTGACCTCCTGACTCAGAGGCTGAATTAGAGATATTGCAGTTGGGGACAAGTAGACCACTTTGACCTTTTTTGTGTCGAACTCATGAGGTTTTGGGTAGCCAGGGGCATTGTCCAACATCGACAGAATCATAAAAGGCAGTCCCTTATTGGCAAAATATTTCCTGACTTCAGGGACAAAGCATCAATGAAATCAATAGACAAAAAATATTCCTGTTGCNTTTGTCTAATGTCAGGAGGACACAAGAAAAAAAAGCAGCAGATAAATGTCATCATCACCATATCACTGATGGTGCATTAGGATTCACTTTATCACAAATGGTATCTTTCATTCTGGTCATTTATGTAAGTTGCCAAAAGAGCTAATGATACCATGTTTAATTGCCTGTGAAATAATAAAAATATCCTGTCACGAATACTATTTCAATTTTGGGCATCTGAGCATTTATACCTAGTTCTTCATATTATCCTTGTACCTGAAAATAAAATGAGTGTTTCAGGTTCGAATTCTTTCATAGAAAAATAAATATTGCACCATGAACCAAGGTGAAGATAACTTGAGTTGAGAATTTTGGTGGAATTATAAGGAAAGAAGAGCTTTGTTAATTCCAAAGGATATCTAGCCATTAGATATTCTGAGGATCATCCAAGTCACACCATCTCTTTATAGTGACCTTTACCTTGGTCACAGTTGAAGCTTTACCTTGAAATAAACTATCTAAACCCAAGACATTTTGACATTTATTACTTCATGTAATCCCTTCGATGATCACCAAATAGGGACTCTAAAATATCTTTCAGAGGAAACTCTTTGGAGATTTGGACCCCGAAGTTGTCTGCTCTCAATCTTCACCAACAACTCATCTTCTCAAAATGATTCTCTTGAAGCTTAAATTCCAAGCTTTTGTTCCTAAGACCTGACCTTTAAAACCTTTTCATTTATCTGACCACTGAGACATCCACTGCTGTAGATCTTGACCTCATAATCCATTTTTAAGCTGGATTCAGGTCTCTTTGCCATGACCTGAACTTTGATATTCTGATAGGTTCAAAGCACAATTCCCTATCTCAAATCAGAATGTTCTCTGAAGGGTCAATAAATGATTTTTTTGTGTGTGATTATCAGTTACCTTTTCAAACCTTTATGTGAGAAATTTTTATTCTATGATTCTTTATGGAAAAGCACATTAGAGTTGCTCTATCTTTAGTTAGAGGAGGCTTTTTGTTCTCCTAATTAGATTCCAATTTCTTCATATCAGGTCTTAAACTTCAATTTCTATCCATTGAAAGAAGAAAACTCCATTCCTCAAAGATCCTAAAATTTATATAGCTCCACTTTATTGTGACCTTATCTTCTAGCATGTATGACTTAAATCGCCAATAACATTCTATGACCTACGCACCTCAATTTTCATTCTTAGATTTTTCAGCCTGCCTATTCTGAAAAATTAACTTACTTTTAAGTGTTACAATGGGAAAGTAGAACTTTCATTGGGAAGAACACTGGAATAGGAAAAATAATACTTAATTTCTAGCTTAAATATCTGGATCTCATTTTTTTCTAATTAAATTTACTATGGGGCCAGGCACGGTGGCTCACACCTGTAATCCAGGCACTTTGGGAGGCTGGGTTGGGCAGATCACGAGGTCAGGAGATTGAGACCATCCTGGCTGGCAGGGTAAAACCCCATCTACAAGGTGAAGTTTGGCTGCGGACACACAGCCAAACAGAATCACCCTCAAAATGTATCTTCTCAGATAAACTATCAGATTATCAATGAGGAGAACCCTAACGGCAATTACTTGTCTCTAAGAAACACTTCCTATCAGTGGAATATACCTCCTCTTTGGAGGAAAATACCAAACATTCTCATTTACTGTATTTGATGTCAACCTACAATGATTGTTTTTGCCATAATTTATGACTGACGAATTCAAAATTAAAGGAACCACATTGTTTTATTTTAGTTTTCTAAAGAGCTTGGAAAAAGTGCACAAACATAAAAAAGTTCAGGAAATTTTTTGGCCTTTGTTCCTGGAACCAAATCCTTTGCTACCACTTATGCCAGAAATTTTAGGAATTGGCATGTGCTAAGAAATTAGAAGACCTCCTGAGGCATCTAGAAGATAATGCTTCGTTATTTAACACCATGTACACAGGGAAAAGACAGCCTAAGCCTAATTAATAGCCAGTGTTTTGCTCTGAAGGGTGGAGAGCGATGGCATGTCATCACGCTGTCTTGACTCCACAAATCTCCATTCCTCGACTTTAAGTCATATCTTGTTGTACCCTGCCCATGTGGCACATAAAGCTATCAGTACTTTCATGAAAACATTTTTGTGAAAGCCTGACTTATGGCAATGGATTATTTGTCCATGGACTTTCTCTATTATTTTCCCAGAAAGGAAGTTTTGTTTATTATGTTGAGTAATTTTCACAGACCACGGCCTTAAAAAACTGGATGAGAACATTATGAAGAAGCAATGTTATTTAAAACTCTGAGTGGGGCCTTCATTTGTTTCCCATCACAGCAGACTCCCAGTGCCAAAAGCACCAAAGTGGGCTGTACAAGTCTCTACAGGATTGCAAAGAAACTGAACAAAAAGAAAAGGAAAGGGAGGGACTTTCTCAGTTACATTATAATCATCATGACCTTCTTTATTATTGAGGAATTATCCTTCGTTGGTATGGGAAGAGAAATAGCAAGAAGCAAGTCGTGTGAATGAGAGATTTAATCGAAACTGATGTCATTAATTGGCTTTGTGAGAAACACATTTGTGTTTTTTTGCTTTTTTATCTCTTACAATAATATATTTTCTCTGGAAAAGCTTCAGGAAGTGGCAGTAGTTCACCAGAGTTTCCATCTTCACTCTGGGGGGGAAAAAGTGTTATTGGAGTGGGCCAGCTCTGATAACAAGAGCCTGCATCTGGGCTCTTAGGAGGTCTAGAAATAGAAGGGGATAGACTACAGACAATGGCCTGCAGACTAGACTCATGCAAGTAGGCCATATTACGCAAAAGAAAAGGCAAAGGCGATAACTATGAAAGAGAATCTATATGTAATTTCATGAGAAATAATTATTCAGTGCATATTCAATTTTATGTACGCACTCCATTTGTTCTTTGACAATTCCATCAACATTGTATATTCTGAAAAGTACTTAATAGGAAGATGAGGTAAGAGCAGGGTGGTAGTACAAAAAGAGCTTTTACCTTCTATACTAATAAATACATGGGCTTCTTAGGCTAAAGCAGGAGTGATGTTGTACATTGCTCCCCAGGACCAGTAAAGGATTCAGGATAAAAACATCTAAACTCTTTAAATGAACTGTAGTAATGAGCTACTGCCTACATAGAACTGGAGATGAGCTGTATGCCCCAGAGGATACTGAGAGAAAATGTACAAGGGACGTAGAAGGGTAGAGACAAGGGACATAAACTAGAGCCACATATACAGGAATGGGGTCTGAGGCTGAGAAAATAGGAAGCCTGTTATCAACTGGCAAGACAAGTGAATCAAATCGTAACTGAATTCAAGATACAGGGACTGTTTGGACATTAGGTTGAATCATTCCTCCTTACCTTTGGGCACACACATCTTTGAGGCAAGTGGAGGGTCTTCTTCACAGAGATGCTTGATAAATTTGCAGCAAGACTCTGGTCCTATTCCAATAACAAGGTCAATCAAGGCTCGAGCTTTATCCATGACAGTGTCATTTTCATCTCTCACTTTGTTCGTATCTTCCTGGCTAATAACTCTATCTTCTAATCGGCAACCAAGCAAGGCATTTATTGTGCCTGCACCCACCGAACGGATAAAAATTCTTCTCTTTTCATGCAAGAGTTGGTCTGTTGGAAGCACGAAGATTTCTCAAATAATGAACATGACACAATTTTCCTCTCAATTCACCAACAGGAAAACGGTTTAAAACACAGAGCTCCACAAGTACATTTATTACAAGGACAAGTACAGTAATCCCAAGGAACGATCTTACAACTTTGCATTTACTTCATGTACTTCCTTCTGATTCTAGCGTTACCCACATATGCTCACTGAGTAACCTGGGAGACCTAATTTCATGATTTTTCTGCTAATCTTCTAAAAATGAGAGGTTGTTCTGCTCTGACACATCCCAATTTCTTGAATTTTGAAGGGAAATGGCAGTTTCTTGAATTTTGAAAGGAATTGACTGTTTCCTTTGAGAACAACAGCTGCTGATACCCATCCTGTGCCAATTCTCATCCTTAACTACATAATCTTTCAAATGCTGACAACACTATCAAAATTATAGCAGATACCAGAAGGAGCCCAGATTCTTCCTGGCCTTTATCTTTTCCTTCAAAAATGCTGTGAAAGTCGGGGCATCTTCCCACCTTCCCTCTCCTTTCTCCTTTCCCTGTGCACCTCAAAGCTACTCACAAAAACCTTCACCAAGCCTAATGAGAAAGACAGTCCCTTCCCAAATAAATTCCTCCCTTAGACCTATTTTCTTACTACGGAAGACTCACCAGCCACGGCTCCTCACGCTGGTGCTTGCAATGCGTGTTACAGTTGCAACAGGCACATTCCTTTAAGTAGGGTGTTACACAGATAAATTAAATAATTACACCTATGCATGTGCATTTTTAATTATTTCCAAAGAAGCTGTTAGTTATTGTCATTTCCCAAGATATTTTTAAGTAATTGAACTGTGATCATGAGAAAATTACTTTACCTTTCTTTGAAGGGCGAGAAACAAGAATAAAAGGGAAATGAGAAGGCACATACAGAGTTAAACATATGCAGTAAACAATCTTTAATTCACTGAGATTTAAATAGAAAGTAAAGACAGAGTGTAGAGTGGTTTTGCCACCTAAATCAAGTACTAAGCATTTCCTTTTTAAAATTGTGGTAAGATAGACATAATACAAAATTTACCATCTTAACGATTTTACAGTATCCAGTCCAGTGGCATTAAGAACATTCACATTGCTGTGGAGCCATCAACACCATCCAACTACAATTCTTTTCATTTTGGGAAACTGAAACTCTACACTCATTAAACAGTAACTATTCTTTCCTTCAATCAGCCCCTGGCAACTACTGTCTGTCTTTATGAATTTGACTTCTCTAAATTATTCAGTATTAATTTTTTGGTGCCTGACTTATTTCACTTAGCATAATGTCCTCACTGTTTATTCATGTTGGGCATGGGTCACAATTTTCTTTCTTTCTGAAGTTGAATAATACTCCATTCTATGTATGTACCACATTTTAGTTTACCCATTCTTCATTGGACACAGGTTTCTTCCCTCTTTTTGCTATTGTGAATAACATTGCTATGAACATAGTGTAGAAATATGATTTTGAGATTCTGCTTTCAATTATTTTGAATAAATGTCCAGAAGTGGAATTGATAAATCATAGAGTAGTTCTATTTATTTATTATTATTATTATTTTGTGTGTGGAACCAGTATGCTGTTTTCCATAGCAGTCGCACTATTTTACATTCCCACATACAAAGCACAAGTGTTCCAATTTGTCCATGTTGTTGCCAATACATATCATTTTTCTATTCTTTTGATAATAGCCATCCTAATGGGTGTGAGATGGACTTGGCTTCTTAACTTCCTTTCATGTTTTTCACCTAAGCTCTAGGGTGTCTCCAGACACAGAAGTGGTGTATGCTCCTATGAAGCAGTTTTGCTGTTTGGAATAAAAGTGCTTTGTTATCTAAGGCTCTTTATCTTCAGATGGCACCATTATAAGTAACACTTTATAACAAAGATTAATGGCACAGACTCCAAAGCCAGAATGGTTGCATCCACATTTTAACTGCTGATCTCAGGAAACAAAATTAACCAAACCTTAATCTCCCCTTCTGCCAAATAGGGTTGGTGATAATTTATCTTGCAGTGTTATTGTGAGGATTTAATGAGCAAATATAAGCCATTAAAATAGCCCCTGGCATAAAGGAAGCACCTCAATTATTATTATATGTGTCCATGTAAAATTTGCTATTCATCTCATAAATTCATTCAACATAAATATTCAGCATAGTTATTTACTGAGACCCAAGTCTATGTGCTATACATTATTATAGATGCTGGGAATGTAGTAATGAGCAGACAAAATTTTCTACCCTATTAGAAGTTGTATTATAGTAGGAGAGACAAATATTGTATAATTTTGTATACAAAAAAGGTATACAAAATATTTTCAGAGTTCTTTAACAATTGAAAGAGAATTATTTTCAGAAGATTTGAGGAAGCATCTTCACTAAAATACTTGTTTTAGCTTATATATATGACATAAATTGATAAATATTTAATATCTGGGCAAGGTGCTATAGTTTAGGTGCTCATGAGCCCAGGAATACACCAAATGAGACAAAGTGGAGAGGGGAGTCTGTGCCTACCTGGTAAGGGTAACCCTCTTTGAAGGGACAGAGCTTCTCAGACTCAACTAGTTTTGCCTATGAAAATAAAAATTCAGTTTACTCTTTCATTTTGAGGATACTATATCTCTAATTTTAAAAATTCTTTCAGTACGTTTGCTATTGCTTTAGAACACTGTGAAAATTAAATAAGGCTTGACTATGGTTCACATTTCACCTGTAGCCTACCAATTTACTTTGTGCTTTCTTGGCAGATAATGGCATTTATTTTCTTGGGAGTGGGAACTTTTATCTTGGTAGCACATAGTCGAACATTGTGGAGATTTGAATCTTTGACTTCTTTGACACTATTTTTTGTCCCTACTTCTCCAACCTAGCTTATAGCAGGCTCTGTGTCCTCTTGCTTTAGGGAATATTTAAGGCAGGAAAGAAATTAGAGATGGTCCGAAAGACACTGGAACCTGAAACAAGAAGACAACGAATAAAAAGAATGGAACATCACTGTGGAAATCACAGAGAGAATAATATTATCCTCGTTCTCTACTAGCCAGAAAAGCACATTATTCTATGGAAGTATAGCAGATGGTGCCTGACAATTGCTGAGGGCCAGATGATACCTCTAGAAAGCAAAACTGTAAGCATGAGGATTCCCAAACTCAGCTATGCTTCCCAGATCTCTAGAAGCTAAGCAGAGAACTCTTAGATATGCCACTCTACTGCTGGCTTCAAAATGAAAGTCCCAGTGATTAGAAGTTTGAATGGAAAAGGCAGGATTTTATTTTCCTGTTTTTCTGAACATCCAAGTATATGTAAGTCTGTTAAGACTACAAGAATAGAGACCTCATAACGACTAAAATTGGAATTATCTACTACCTTATTTGTATAGGCACTTGATTTCAGAATGTAATTTGAATTGAGATATGATTATCATAAAATAAATCACATGCTAAACAATAGGCAGTGTTTTAAATGATGAATGATGAGTTGAAAATTTAGATCGATGCTCATTTCAGATTTCTGGATTTGTGTTTGCTGCTGACAGTTCAGATTTGTCATTATGATAAGAGTACTTACTGCTTTTGTGGGAGTAGGGAGGAGTTATGACATGAAAGCATAAGTTCTCTAGTTGCCACCTTTACTTGTGTCATTTATAACTCTTTGAAGATACTCAATTTTCTATCATTCCTCTGTCTGTTCTTGGGTATCAACATTCTGGAACATATCTAGTGAATATACATTAGTGGGATCACTAATCAAAGTTAAGATTTATTTATTTTTTTAGAAGCCCTCCCCTCTTCCCAGATTTGGAGTAAAATCACCCCTTCAAGTGTACTTTGTTAGTTGTATGAGATGATGAATGACTTGGTTAAACTATCTAAGCCTCCATTTTCCCATTCAAACACTTTCCTCATCTGTATCATTACTATTACTAGATTTGTTGTGACTATTTAAGATAATGTATGTGAAATCATTGCCTGGCTATATCTGAAAGTGACTGCTACTACATTAGCAATAGTCTTGAAGGAAGAATGTATCCTGGTACCTTATATATTTTTTATAAAATGCTTCCAAATTTATATGCCCATTTTACAAAAAATACTAATTACCAGTGGTTTAGAGATGTAACTGGCACAAGGAGTCTCTCACTCAATCCTAGGCCCTGTGTGATATGCTACTTGTTGCTCATCATAGCACTGTGGTTGAATCTATGAAGAAAATCAGCTGGTAAAATAGGACTCAGTGCCTGCCCTTGGGGAATTTAAAATAATTTGGCACTGATAAGGCATAAGCACCGGAAAATATTGTATGACAGCACAGGAGAAAATGGACTAAGATGCTACGAGGTATCAATGATGGGAGGATTGAATATAATCTGAAGCAATCGGGAAGATTTCACACAGGTTACATAAAATGTTTCAGACTCTGTAGGATGAAGGCATTTAAGTAAGCACTGAAAGAGGTTGCTAATTTGCTTATCGTTTGCCCTGTTTTAGGTAATATATCAAATGTTTT